ACAGTCAACAGGTAACAATTTATTTATCTAATTCTAACAATGAACAAATTAACTAAATTATTAACAAACCTAATAAACCCCTTCTAACTACTAACTATGCCTGAATAAAACAAGATTATAATGGCAAACTGTTCCAATAAATTCAAGTTCCACTGATGTAAAATAAAAAAAATAGAATTAGTCTCTTGAAATTACAGCCAGATTACATGTCTTCTGAAATATTCTGTGCCTTCTCCACCAAATCTTCTGTCAGTAATGCTTTCTCTGTAAATTCTTCTGTTAGGAATGCTTTCTTTGTGAATTCTTCTGTCAAGAATCTTAGCTAAGAGTGCCATTGTACCGTTGTAAATAGATGGCGCTTTCTCGAGGAGCTGAGAGCTGTTGTCTCTATCAGATGGCAGTGAGTTCTCCTGCCTTTACCCAATTGCCCCTTCTTTCATACCCTTGATGATATATTAATATTTCTCACAATAGGTTCGGCCATATGTTGTCAAAACCATCATATTTAAATTTAATTGGTTTTTGGTATCTAAGTGCCTGGTTCAAATTAATTGGCTAAATTCAAAACTTGTTGGCTCGATAACAAATCAAAACTGCTGCTTGGCCTGCTAACTATACAGCCTTTTGATACAAATGTTTCAATTCAGGTGCTCTGTGGACCTGCAAACCCACAAGATACTGCCCGCTGACATCCTTTTTGAATCTCTAAGCATGGAAAAAGCACATTATCTTTTAAAGGCACCACGCACTGCCTCCTCCGTAGCATTTCACAAACATCAATGTCCTGCCTCTTAATCCATAAGTACTCTACCCAACTTCGTAACACCTTCCCCCTTAAGAAAAAAAGAACCATCATTATGAAAAGATGGCTTCATTTGTTTTCTTTTAAAACCTTAACTCGTTATATTACCAGATCCATACCTGATTAATTTAGAGTTACACATTTCATACTAATTCTATGTATGTATATCATCGAACCCTACTGTTTCTATCTTATATAAACATTTTTCTTTTAAAACCATGATAAAGCATCCGTGATAATATTTTCACGACCTGCAACATGTACAATCTGTAAATTAAATGTTTTTAACATAAGATTCCAATAAAATATCTGGTGTTTTTGTCCTTAAATCTTTCCAGAAATGTCAAAGGACTGTGATTGGTATACACAACCATCTCTAATGTATTGTTTGCAAAGTAAACATTAAAATGTTGTAAGGCCAGTACCAACCTCAATAACTCTTTTTCAGTGGTTAAGTATCTTTTCTGGTGCATCCTGAATTTTTTTGAAAAATAACCGATTGGCCTTTCAATTGCACAATCATCCTCCTGTAACAGCACAGCTCCAACACCTACATCGCTTGTGCCGATGGCGACTTTAAAAGGTTTCAAGAAATTTGGCATGGCTAAAGCTAGTGCAGTGGTTAACACTGTTTTTAAATTCTCAAATGCCTCCTGGCATTGTTCTGTCCACCGAAATTTCATGTTTTTTTAACAAATTCGTCAGTGATGCCACCACGTTACTAAAGTATGGTTCAAATTTCCTGTAGAACTCACTCAATCCTAAGATTCATAGCACTTTCTTCTTTGAGGATGATCTTGGAAATTCTTCGATGGGCTTCGTCTTCATGTTCCTTGGTGTCACCCATCTGTGTCTGATGTTGTGTCCTAAAAATGTCACTTCTGCCTTCACGAATTTTGTTTTTGCCAAGTTTATGACCAACTTTGCCTTCTTTAGTCTCTGAAAGACTCTGCCAAATGCTCCTTGTGATGTTCCCGTGAATTACTAAAAATCACTAAGTCATTTATGAAGACAGCACAATTAGTCAATCCTGCAACAACTCTTTTCATAAGCTTTTCAAAAGTGGCTGGTGCATTTTTCATTCCAAAGGGCATGACTTTAGATTGATATAGCTCATTTCGGGTTACAAAAGCAGAAACATCTTTCGCTGTCTCTGACAAAGATACTTGCTAGTAACCGTGAAGTCAGTCCAACTTTGTGATGCAAGTGGCTTATCCTACATTTTGCACACAGTACTCCAGCCTTGGAATTGGGTATGAGTCAGCTTTAGTCACCTTCCAATAATCTACGCCAAACTCCACTCGCTTTGACTCGGCTCTATGATGTCTTCTTGAAACATCGCTTCTACATCCTTCTGAACCTGTGCTGCTTTGACAGGATTGAGCCTGAAGAGTTTTTTTTAATCAGAACAGCATTCCCTATGTCAACTTTATGTACTACGGTGTTAATTCACCCATTCCATTTCTACATACGTCCTCATAGCACTGTAACAAGTCTTTCAATTCAGTTCTCTGTTCCTGGGACAGATTGCTCACTATCCCATCTAATTCTTTAAGGACTGCCTCATTATTCTGAGGCTCATCAAAATCTAAATCATCTGGATTTGATTCCTCACTCTGAGTGGCAATAACTAATACCAGTTTCCCCGATTCCCTTTCCCTGTCACAGTAAAGTTTCAGCATATTCATATAACATACCCAACACATTTTTCTCCTATCTGGCATCTTTACCAGATAATTCACCTGACATAACTTCTTCTCAACCTGATAGGGACCACTAAACCTTGCTTTGAAGGGATCTCCTACCACTGGTAACAGCACCAAGACTTTATCCCCACGGGCAAACGAACAACTTTTAAAGGGACCATGCACTGTTCCCCCTAGTATTTTAAAAACACCAAATTCTAACTTCCTGCCTCCAAATCCACAAGTACTCTACTCAACTTCACAACATAATCTAGACTGACATTTTAGTGCAATACTGAGGGACTGCTGTACTCTCAGAAGTGCCACGAAACAAAGGCCCCATCTCTTGCAGATGGACATGATGATACCTATGATGCTATTTTGAGGAGGATCAGGGGCATTAAGAACATAAAAACAGAAGAAAAAGGAGCATATGAACATAGGAACAGGAATAGGTCATTTAGTCCCTCGAGCCTGTTGCACCATTCAATGAGATTATGGCTGATCTGTGGCCTAACTCCACATACCCGACTTTGGTCCATTGGAGGGAGAAGACTATCCAGTTCATCAGGTTTGCTCCACTATTCAGTATAATCATGGCTGGGAATTAACTTTACGTCCAGCTTCTTCCCCATTTTCCTTGATTCCTCAATTTTGTCTGTCTCAGTCTTAAATATACTCAATGATGGAGCATCCACCATGCCCAAAGGTTCACAACCTTGATAGTGAAGCTTTGTTTCTTGAGACACTGGATTAGATGGATCATCACCCAAACAGAAGGACTATTTTCAGGTCAGGAGACCCAGTTCCTAATTGATGGGCTTGCTGTTGTGGATCTTTAGCCTAATCACAACTTTAGGATCCTGCCTCCAGCTTCCCAAACCAATCAGGGATGGCTGGCACATCCAATCTGTCCAAGGAAGTCTGTCTAATGAAAATTCCCACTGGATGGGTTACAAGGTTGATTGACCTTGTATTTCTGTGGCTGCAGTGACCACAGGAGTGGAGAGAGACCAAGGCAGGCGGCTCCCAGAATGCCTGACTCTTGCTTGGAGAACTTGCTGCTCTCTCAAGGCTGGGCGGTGGATGGGCAGCAGTGCAGGGTGCTGGGGGGGTTTTGAGGAGATGGAGGCTTGGATTATCCCCAACTGTGGATGAGCGTAGTTGAAGAAGTCAGGAGCAGATGCGTTCCTTCTCAACTGAAAAGTACATCAAGAGCATTCATAAGTACATAAAAAATAGGAGCAGGTGTAGGCCGCTTAGCTCTTCAAGCTTACACTGCCATGCCACAAGATCATAACTAATCTGCCCGGCCTTAACTTCTCATAGCCCTCAACTCCTCGACATTTCGAAAATCTATCTACCTCCTCTTTAAATACTTTCAGTGATCTAGCCTTCACAACTCTCCAAGGGATAGGATACTAGACATTGACTATTCTTAATAAAAACCAAAAGAACTGCAGATGCTGTAAATCAGGAACAAAAACAAAGTTGCTGGAAAAGCTCAGCAGGTCTGGCAGCATCTGTGAAGGAAAAAACAGAGTTAATGTTTCGGGTCCGGTGACCCTTCCTCAGAACTATACTATTCTTGTTTGAGCGTGTTTTGCCCCCCATGCTCAAACAAGCCCGAAAATGGAAAATCTATGCCCACCGGCTGAGCGTTACCGTTGAGCAACTTCATTTTCTACATGAATGCCTCAGATTCATTACCCTTTGGGATAGAAATCCAGGATCTGAGGAGGGCATATAACTCACTCAGAGATAATAATAACTGCCGATGCTGGAGTCAGAGATAACACCAGTGTGGAGCTGGAAGAACACAGCAGGCCAGGCAGTATCAGAGGAGTAGGAAAGTTGATGTTTCGCATCAGGACCCTTCTTCAGAAATAGGGGAGGCGGAAGGAGTCTCTGAGGAGGGCATGTCTGGTGAGTGGCATAATCCATTCAGGTAAAAATCTCCAAACTCCACACATGTCTCGCCCATTGTTCCCTTGCACTATTCTCGTCAGGTTAATAACCAAACTACTTTACTCATTCCTCTCTCTGTAAGCACCTCACCTGACAGCACAGCCCTTCAACCTCAGTAGACTGCCCTCTTACACCCATGCTGCAATGTTGCACTTCACAGAATTTGCACTTCTCCCATTCTCCCAACTCCTCTCCGTATAAATCATGACGGATGTTCACACCTTTCTGCTTTCTCTCCTTGTGGAACAGAGTACATAGCTGGTAAAAGCTAAAGCTACTGATAAGGAGAGACCACCTGCTCAGTTGGGAAGGAATCTTGTTCTAGGAGCTTGCAGATGTCACCAATGACCCACTGTGAGAGTCAGAGCCTATAGGGATGCTGGTGCTCAGATTCATCAAGTGAGGTACTTCTCTATCATGGACCTCATCTCCTTCTAGCTAAATCAGCGTCCAGAGATGCCTATGGTTGAGGTGAAGATGGTAATAGTAGTGCTGTCTTTCAAGGTGTTGGTAATGGTCTGGTTTCTGCTCTTGTCCCTTATTAGAAATACAAGGAAGAACTGCATAAGCTGCTCCGATGCCGCAATAAGTTTTACCGTCGTGAAGTGCAGCTGAGTGAATTTCTAGACCAGTAGGTAAGCTTCTAAAAAATTTGGTTATGATCATTGGAGCAGGGAACTCACAGAAAGAAGAGCTTTGAACAGCAATGTATTACCTGGCCATGGCTGCAGCTCTTCATATGAACAAGGATCAAGAGCAGGTGACTCGGCCCTTCAAGCATTTTCCACCATTCAATAAGATTATGGCTGATCTGATTTTAACCTCAACTCTAACATTCCTGCATTCCCCTGATAATCATTCATGCCCTCGGTACTCAAGAATCTATCTACTCCTGCCTTAAAAATAATTTAAAGATTCTGCATCCACTGCCTTTTGAAGAAGGATAGTCCAAAGACACAACTTTCTGACACAAAAGAGGTCCCCTCATCTCAGCATTAAATGGGGGTGACTACTCATTTTAAACTATTACTCCTAGTTCTTGACGTTCCCACAGAGGAATCATTCTTTCCGTATCCGACTGGTCAAATCCCCTCAGGATCTTATATGTTTCAATTAACACCTCTGACTCTTGTAGACTCCAAAGGATACAGACCTAGCTTATCGAGCCTTTCCTCATAAGGCAATCCATGCATTTCAGGTATTAGTTGAGAAACTTTGTTCAAACAGCTTCCAACACATTAACATCCTTTCGTAAGTATGGTGACCAGTTCTGGACATAGCACTCCAGGTGCAGTCTCACCAATGCCCTGTATAACTTAAGCATAACCTCCCTACTCTGATGTTCAATTCCCCTCACAATAAACACAACTTTCTATTAGCTTTCCCTTCTGTGTAACCGATCAAAGCATTCTTGGTTTGAAGAAGCACTCCCCACCTTACACTCACCTTGGTAACTCTGGTGAGTTGCTAACAGGCTGAAAAATCCTGAATTGAGAGTTAAGACTTAAATTGGCTGCTTAATTAGCTTAATAACTTAGCTAATAGATCTAAGAAGTTCCCTACTCACCCTTAATCCTACCCCACAAAAACCCAGAAGAGACTCGGATTTGTTCAGAATCCTGACCCAACATCAGTTTCAGGGAGATTTAACTACCTGTGAGCAAGCCAAACTGAATCTGCTTGCCTGGGAAAATTCTTCCCTTTGTGTTAGTTTTCACATGCCGATTATACCCAGTTTTACCGCATCAGCATCCTTCTCACTTTATTTACTATCGCTAAATTACCAGATTGCTTATGTGACTGTCCACGACTAGATCTGCAGAAGTCTTTTATTAACTATTTGAAGCACTGAAGCCGCTTCTGTCTCATCACAAACACTGTTCCCTAGCCATGTCTACACCACTCAAGTAACTGTCCAAAGCTGAACAACACCTGTCACATACTTAGTTCTGAAATGAGCTCTCAACCATATTTGTGGTATCAGTAAATCTGCTTATTTTCACCTTCCTAATATCAACCAATGCTGTCCCTGACTCATCTCAGCTGCTGCTGAAACACTCACCCACCCCTTTATTACCTTTAGATTTGGGCAAATCAATGCACTTTTGGCTAGCCTCCCATATCCTACTCTGTAGAAATTTGACGCAATTCTAAAATTTGATTGCTTGTGTCCTTAGCTGCATTCACCCATCACTGTCCTATAATGGTTCCTTTTGAAGCATGTGGTGAAACAATGCAGCAGTTTTAAAATTCTCATCCTTGTTTTCAAATCCCTTACCACTCCAGGTCCCTGGTAAAATCCTTCAACCCCACAACCTTCAGGGAGATCTTCACTCATCAAATTCTGATCTCTTGCTTGTCTGTGCCAACACCCAAAGACTCTGGAAGTCCTTCTCTCAATCTTTCTCCTTCATTTTCTTTTTCTTCCATAAGTTGTCCTTTAAAACCTTCCACTTTATCATTTACCTCAAGATTTACCCTTGTGCTGCTCAGTGTCAAATTCTGCCTTATAAAGTTTTTATGAAATGCATGAGACATTTTATGAAGTTATAGGTACAAATACAAGTCGTCGTTATTGAAAAATTTCTTTTGATTTTGTGTTACATTGAAATTTATGCGGTATAGTATTTTTCATTTGATTGAAAGCTTCAAGCTTTTGCTTTGGTCTCAGATTTTATGTTGACTGTTAAAGCAAACCTGATTGTCATCAATGGCATGATGCTATGCTATATGTCCTGTTTTGAATGTTGTCCTAGTGGTAATACATTGCTCTGCAAGAAACTTTAACCAGTCAATACAATAATAAGTATGTGCTTTTATCAAGGATATTTCTACATGTTGGTTAACTCACTTTTCATTAATACTAATGACACCTGGTGCAAACTGGATGAGGAGACGAGCCATCCTTTTGTCAAACATGTGGAACAATTTGCCTGCAGGTCATCCAAAATGACTGAGTACAGAAGCAGGGAGATCAACAGTGGCTATACATTTCAGGATATTTCAGGATAGAAATTTTTTCTATCTTCTTAAAGATCTATGCCTTGTGGACTCTGAACTCTGCATTCTGAAATAGAGAATATTCAGAGGATAGCAAAGCTTATTATTAATGCTACCTTACACTGAGTATTGCAGCACAATCCAAACCACAGTATTTCCCTTATTGCACTAACTATTGAGATTTTTTTGCTCACATCTGTATTATCATTGTGTAACAGGCGACTTACCATCTGCACTGCTCAAAGATTATAAAACAGATTTTTTTTTCAGTTGGCAATGTTTACAAGCATTAGTTGGAAAGCATAACTTAGAAGAATGAGCTATTGATAATGGATATTCATCAGATGCTGCTGATCCATCAGGGTATTGTTGTAGAACTTAACTCCTGATCCTTAATCAGCCAGATAATGAGTTCAGATGGAGATGCTCCTACAGCTAAATTCTCATGGCCACATAACACCAACGAGCTTGTCTACCAGGTCCATAGAAAATCACTTTCCCATTGCGGCCTCCAGAACTCAAGGATTTTGCCCAGATGCTTCACCCAGGTGTCTTGCAGCCTATTCTCTTACTACCTACTAGTTTTCTAGCCACCATTGGTAAATTTGGTCTGCTCTGTTCCTGGTCATGTGTCTTCAATGCTGACTCAGTGCAGGAACTCTGGGTCAGGGGTGCTGCCACATGATCTGGCAAGGTATCCAGCAACTGGTTGCCTGGTCCAATTCTGCTTTCTGGCTCCCCAGCCAGAAAGTGTTGGCTATCTCCTCCTTGCTTTTTTCCATGCTTTGCCCACATTCTCTCTCTCTCTCCATAAACTTGCCAAGAAACGTGCTCCCTGCAAGAACAGGTTCAAATGAATTGATGTGCTCTCCTCTACCATTGCCACATAAAGATGGAGACCCCATTACAGTTAGCCAGATCAAGTCTGTTTTTGTTTCCCTATAATTTCCGCCACCCCCAAAAAAGAACCAAGAATAAATAAAAGCAGAGTTTTGAAATGTCCTGAAAGGGCTGTGAAAAATTCAATGGGTAATAAATTTCATTTGATGCCTTGATCACACTGTGCTTCAAACCATTTGTGAGGACATTAGGTCTTATCAAATAGTTCAAGTCAAGATTTAATTCCAAACCTTGTTTGTTTGGGAGTATAATCATCTGATTTTAAGTTACTCTATTCTATAAAAATCTATTGTGGTTTCCCTGTGCACTTTCCTTTGCAGCACAAGCCAGTGATACAATGACACAGTAAGCCACCTGTCCCTCTGGACTCTATGTACCTTGCTGTGCAACTGGCACAACTAGATCCATATGGATAGGCTGGGATTCCTCTCACCCTGAACACAAACTCTGTTTGGTCATACCCTGTAAGTATATGCAGTATGTGTGCATTATTTTCACTCCATGTTTTTCCAATATGTGCAAACAGCTCATGCCCTGTCATTAATGTATAAATTAAGAGACACCATGAAAACTTTTCATTGTCATTCTACCAATTCTTAGGTTTTTGAACTTCTTCCAGGGCTATGATTAAACAACTGCCCATTGAGAGCTTTCATGCTATTTTGATTGTTTATTAAATCCTTCCTCAACTTTGTCTGGACACTACACAGCCGATCTCAATAAATCAGAAACTTGACGGAAATGCAGCTACAGTGGTATCAGACCTGAGCTCTTGTTAAGGATGTATGTTGAATAATAACACAGTCTGCATATTGAACTGATAACCAATGCCATTCTTATGAAATTTGCTTTATTAATTTGAGACGTGAATTGTGGTTTCTTTGAGCATTATTGTAATTTTCTTTGTATCAATATATTGTAAGAAAATGCACTGTTTATGCCAAAATTAATGATTAGTTTTCTTGCATACTCCTATTTGGAAAAGAATGAACTTATTAGGGATAGTCAGCATGGTTTTGCATGGGGGAGTTCTTATCTCTTAAATTTGATTGAGGTTTTTGAGGAAGTGATGAAGATGATTGATGAGGGTAGGGCAGTGGATGTTGTTTACATGGACTTCACATTTGACAAGTTGGCTGGTACAAAATATTAATTTGCATGGCATCCGTGGTGAGTTGATAAGTTGGAGACAAAATGGGCTTGGTCATAGAAGACAGAAGGTAGTTGTAGAAGGCTGCTTCTCTGACTGGAGGTCTGTAACCAGTGGAGTTCCACAAGGATCAGTGCTGGGACTTCTGTTATTTGTAATATATATAAATGATTTGGAAGAAAATGTAGGTGGTTCAAGTAGGAAAGTTTTCAGATAACACGAAATTGGTGGAACCGTGGATAGTGAAGAAGGTTCTCAAAGAATACAGCATGATATGGATCAGTTGGACAGTTGGGCAGAGAAATGATAGATGGAGTTTAATCCAGACAAATGTGAGGTGATGCATTTTGGGAGGTCAAATATAAAAGGAAAGTATACAGTAGTGGCAGGACCGTTAGGAGCATTGATATACAGAGGGATCTTGGAGTGCAAGTCTATAGCTCCCTGAAAGTGGCAACACAAGTGGTTAAGATGGTAACATCCATTGGGACACTAAGTATAAAAGTTGGCAAGTCATTTTGCAGCTGTATAAAACTTTAGTTAGGCCACATTTGGAGTATTG